ATCAAGACTCTGCCATAAAGACTCCCTTTCACTTGGAGTATTAAAAGCATATATAACAGTGCATAAAAACTTCACCCTAGAATTTAAAACCACCACATGACAGTGCAAGAATTGATCTCCTTGTGTAACTTCAGTCACCTCCACCCTCAGTTTATCCCACACCAACCAAATCCTACCATTATAAGCACTATTATATGTATGCAACCATCCCCATTTATCTCCTAATTTTTTAACTACTCTATTACTATTCTCATATTTCACTCTAGTTTCTAAAAAAGCCATAACTGAAATCTTATTTGTCAGTAAAAAATTCCTACCCTCTACTTGATGAGAAGGGTCATTAAAACCCCTCACATTCCAAAAAGCAACAGTGATCATTTATTTAAGAGAGGGAAAAAAAAAACCTCCACCAGCCGCTTGCATCCCATCTTTCTGAGCAAGAACTTGTCCACCAACAGCTTCTTCACCAGCCTGTCTTGAAAACAATTCCGGAAACAAAGCTGTCACATTACCATCATCAATAACAGTTCCTTTGACATGATCAGATTCCATTATAGGCATTTCCTTATCAACCACCACCGTAGACTCTAGTACTTCATCATGCTTGCACTGTTGGACAACAACCTCACTAAGTATATTAGGCTCAACCTGTACCATAGCTGCATCAGCTTGCTGCATACTAGGCTTAAGAAGCTACTTCTGTTCCACAGAACCTTTAACTACCCACATCTTCTTAATTTTAGCCTTACAATTCCTTTCCTCATGTCCAAGGTTACCACAGTTTCCACAGCGCACCGGGGACCATTCAAAGATTACTGGTTGCTGGAAAATACCCTTGGGCCCAACTACAGGTACCACCTGTGGTAACTCCTCCATAATCTCAACTTCCACTAGCATCCTAGCAAAAGACACTCGCTACCTCTTAGTAGTCAATGCATCAGTAGCAATAGGAACATCCAGATAACTGGCCATTTTGCCTAAGCTTTCAGGATTCCAAAGACTCAAATGCAAATCAGGAAACTGAATCCACACGGGTATCTTACTAACATCAAGGTTATCAGGATCAAAATAAGGGGTCCATTGTTTCAAAATTAGAGGATGGTCCTGAAAAGTCCATCTCTTTTCTAAGACAGCCTGCTTCGCCTCCCCATCCGCAAAATCAAACAAAAATACACCATTCTTAAGTGAAAAAACCTTTGGTACTTGGAATTCCTTCCATCTATTATTAGCATAATTAGCCATATCCTTAAAATGAGGCTTGCATCCAAGGACATAACCAACTAAAGCATTCTCCCATACCTTGGATCCCTAATACCATTCATCCTCGGTAATCACCACAGCACCAGAGGGGTCTTGAGGTTTTACATACTGCAACTCCCATCCCTTCCTAATATCCCTATTTCCTTGCACTACCGACGACCAACTCCTAACCGGCTTCCGTAGTGGCTGAGTCAGTACTTCATCCTTCTCTCCATCAACCAAATCAATCCACCGAACTCTAGGAGTCTCAGGCTTTACACCCGAAGAACTAGCCCCATTGGTACCAATTAAAAGCTTAGCAGGGGATTCTGGAGATTGGGTATTTAAACCCACTACCCTTTTACCTTCCCTCTGCCCCTCCTCTAAATTAGTGAGAACCTGGGTTACCACAGCCTCCTTTCTAGACTCAATTTCTGTCACCTCATCCACCCCAAGATCCCTCGGATTTGACTGCAAATTACCCACCTCCTCTATCACAAGACCCATAAGCTCAAGATCCTTTGCAGCGAGCTATACTACCTCAACTTGCGCCTTAACAGCATCCTCAATCGGACTATTCGTAGCAACATTCTCAACACTTTTTGCAC